CCCAAATCTCTTATTCTGCTCCATAGAGATATGGATTTATTTAAACAAGTCAGTAATGACCAATCAAATATGTCTTTAATTCGGGTTAGGTTTAGAAAATTTAGTTTGGTTATTTACTTTAGTTTTTGTAAACTTAGTTAAGTTTTTATCACTTAGTTAAGTTTTTATCATTTATTAAACAATGAGACAGTCTACAATAAGAATTAAAGTGAAACAAAGTGAAATAGATCAACGAGACAGTCTACAACAGATCAATGAACAAAGTGAAACATATAATGAGATAGTCTACAATAAGAATCAGTCCATTTAATCCTAAACCATCACACATATATATCAGGCAAGAATTCGTCAAGATTACGGATTTGCAAATAAAAACCACACACAATGATGCAAAGATGAGTTGTGCAATAACCTAAATCATCGATCAAATATATAAGTGGAAACAATACAAAGATGAGAATACTACAAACATTTAGTCAAAATTTGAACCAGAAGAGTACAAGTCATTAAAAACCAAGAACCAAAGTTTTAATCTTAACTAACAACCATCTATAACAAATACAAGTCATTAAAGATGAGCTAGACAGAGAATACATAAACCAGTCTTCACCACAACGAGACTAACAACCATTTATGATCCAATTCAAGTACATACTTATTTCTTTAGACAAAGCATTTATCAAACCTAACCTAAAACTAACACAAAGCACAAGCCATCAATGATACAAAGCAACATTTTAGACAGATGAATAATACTAACCTGGTAAAGCAATAAAAGCATCAACGCATCTCTGCTTTTCTTTGATGCATATCTGCAACTGCTTTTAAGTCTCCTACTGTTTCACCAGTCAACTACCAAAACATAGACTAGATGAATGTTCCTTGATCTAACAAATGTAATCAAAAGCAAATATACTCTGAAAAGGCCAAAACAGAAACTCAAAGATAATTTTGTTAATTTATCAAAGAAGCAGAGATTCACATATCAACATCACTGGTTTTAAGAACAGACGTAATGCTATGGATTTGCAAAGAAAAAGAACACACAAACATGTTCATAAATACACAGATTACGGATTTGCAAATAAAAACCACACACAAACATATTCAAAGTGGAAACATATTACAGTCAAGCCTACAAACACACAAACTGTTTACAAATCTACATCGCATATCAGTACCTAATTGAATCTACAAAGAAAATCGAAAACTTATTTGTTCATCGCCAACACAGAGAGATCCAGACGGAGAGAAGCCGATATCGGCTCATGCAAAGCACGATTCTGAAGGCTATCTGCTTCAAATCAGAGACCAATCATGATCATATCAAAATTTTCTGAAACACAATCTACTAGTCCTTATAACGAAATTAAGCAAGCAAAAAGCATCTGTAACGAAGAGATTGGAACAATATCGAGAAATCGGTCGATTCCCCTTCCTAGGGTTCTTCTCTATCGCGATTGCGCCGAACAAAAATTTTCCTTCGATTCCCCTTCACAGAGAGACAGAGATCCTCATAAGACCATCGATTCATGCAGAGAATCGGTCGGATTGAAGATTTTTCCTTCGATTCCCCTTCAC